GGTATCTTTCTAGGTTATCAGAAAGGGTCTTACAGAATAATGATGACTGACTCTAAGACAATTAAGCTCACGAGAAGTGTTGAGTACAATGCAAAGTGGGGGAGAATGTGGGAATTTTCCAATGTTATCCTGATGACGGTGATGAGACTGAGGATAGTCAAAAGCAACCACAACAGCCCACACCCACTGATGAAGGTTCTGAGTCTGAATCTGAAACTGAATCGGGTGATTCAGAGGATTTCAAGAGTGCGAAAGCCTCTATGCGACCCTCTGAAAACTCTGATCAAGAATTGGAGGAACCATTGTTCACAATAGGTCGTTTTTTCTCCTAAGAAGGAAGAGGAGAGTGTTGAAGACTTAAGGCTAATTCGTAGGTCACAGAGAGCCACAACAGGCACACCTCCAAAGAGATTTGCTGATGAGTTTGCTACGATAGCAGTAACAGCTGTTAAAAGCTCCAAGAAGGTATTTGAACCTTCAAGTTTCCAAGAAATCCAGGGTTTGGATTCAAAGGAAGCTGAGCCATGGTTTAATGCCATGAAGGCTGAGCTTGATTCCTTAGAAAGGAACAAAACATGGGAACTAGTTCCAGTAGTTCCAGGAATGAAACTGCTTGGAAGCAAATGGGTCTTCAAAGCGAAGACAGATCAAAATGGCAAGATAGTCAGACACAAAGCCAGATTGGTAGCCAGAGGTTTTGCACAGGTACCAGGTGAAGACTATCACGAGACCTATTCACCCACAGTGAGATATGAAAGCATTAGGCTTATGCTCAAGCTAGCTGCAGAGGAAAATCTACACATTAGTCACCATGATATTAATACAGCTTTTCTGTACGGATCTCTAGATGAATCACTTTATATGCTTCCACCTGATGGCGTACAGGTAAAACAGGGATTTGTTTGTGCTCTGAAGAAATCCCTTTATGGTCTCAAACAAAGTGCACGGTGTTGGCACACAAAACTCACTGAAGTATTGTTTTCTCTAGGTTTTCAGCAAGGAAAGCTGATCCATGTGTATTTGTCAAAGAGGAGGGCAAAAGAAACTGTACTATTTGTTTTATGTTGATGATTTATTATTCTTTTGGAAAGATGTTGCAATGTACAATAGCGCCTAGCTCAACTGAAAGAGCACTTTGACATGAAAGATCTTGGTGAGGTAAACAACTACCTATCTCTGGAAATAGAGAGAGATCAAGATGGTAACATTCTAGTACACCAGTCACGGAAAATTGCTGATGTGTTAAGCAAACTAAATCTGATGGATGCTAACCCTGTAGACACACCGATGACAACAGGTTATCAGGTAGATGACACTGAAGAAGCATTTTCTGACACTACACTGTACAGGAGTGTGCTAGGCAAGCTAAACTTCATTGCCAGATGTTCAAGACCAGACATTGCTGTTAGCTGTAATTTGCTAAGCAGACAAGTCAACAATCCTAGTGTCAAGGATTGGAAAGCTCTGAAACGCATAGCGAGATATTTGAAAGGCACTATGCATTACAGACTGAGATTTAACAATCAGAAGTCTGGTGGTCTTGAGATATTTGCAGATGCAAGTTTTGGAAGTGACGCTACAGACAGGAAAGGTACGTCTGGAGTTTGCTACATGTACAATCAGAGTCTGTTTGATTGGTCATGCAAGAAGCAAACAACAGTTAGCTTAAGTACTTGTGAAGCCGAACTGAATGCACTGTCTTATTCACTTAAGGATTGTGAATGGTTAGTACAATTGTGCAAAGATATGAAAATTCCTGTCAAATGTCCAATCCAGGTTTACCAGGACAACAAAGCATGTTTGGCTTTGCTGAAGTCTGAAGGTTATAAGCAAAGCACAAAGCACTTACAATTAAAGTTGCAGCATGCTAGGGAATGTATTCAGAAGGGACTCGTAACGGTGTCCTATATGCCAGGTAATGAAATTCCTGCTGATGTATTGTCCAAGATTGTATCGAGGGATCAACACTGTACCTATGTGCAGAAGTTGGGTTTGTACTGATACTGTACGAACACGCTGCCCAGTGATGTTCACAGAAAGGGGAGGATGTTGGTTTCTGCTTTCCTTCACTGTGCAGCTCTGCTTGTCACGAGACAGGTGTTTACATTCCACAGTCTGTACTGTTGGAGTTTCTCACGGGAAAGGGAGACTGGATGTGACGTACACTGGTTTCCTGTTTTTCACTGTGTGATTCTCTCCGAGCTGTCGAGGAGAGAGGATGCATTTCTCTGCTCCGGCAGAGGCAAGATGTCTTTCTGTAATATACCAGCTTTGAACTGTAAATAAAGCAATATAGAGGATGTAGCACGTACTCCTCATCCTTCCGCTGGGCACGACAGACTCTGCTTTAAACCAACAGGCTATGCCTGTCTACCATTGCTAATATCAATCACAATGTATTTTGTATATTTAAACATGAGAAAGTACTGAGATGGAAAGCCCCCCAAAGTGGGTAATTTCTCTTGCTAATGGACTGTGAGGAATATTCTGGGGTGAGCACCCTGTCTGTCAGAAGCTAAGTGAGTCATTTGACAGGATAACAAATTGGCTTCTCCATCCAGAGGTGATACACTAGAAAACGAAAAAAGAGCAAATCTCTCCATAATGGACCTTCTGGAAAGTGATGCATTATGAATGGCGAGCAGGGAACCAAAACACATTTGGATAGCTGTTGGATTTGTGGCAGCAGGAGCAGCAGCATCTGAGGCTTGGAGAGTGAACTTTTCAAATCACCCACCCATCCGCTCTCAAACTTCCATTCATTTGCCAGTGACTTAAAAAAAACAACAACATTGTGTATTCTTGTTTACTGACAGTCACCTTGGAGTCCTGCTATCGTGTCAGGCAAAGAGGTGGGAGATAAATGAAGCAACTCCCTGGTCCAAACCCATCTTTTATAACTAAGCCTAGGTACATATAACTGGCATAGAGTACAACCAGGGCTTCCCCCCCCCCCAGCCAGAACTCATAGAATCATAGAGTTGGAAGGGACCCAAGGGTCATCTAGTCCAACCCCCTGCAATGCAGGAATCTCAGCTGAAGCAGACATGACAGATGGCCATCCAACCTCTGTTTCAAAACCTCCAAGGAAGGAGAGTCCACCACCTCTCGTGGGAATTTGTGTCAGAAGCTTGTCCTACACTTGAGTAGGACCCTGGCAGAGACACATGCCCAACTGGCATGTTCCCTCCCTCCTGGTTGATCGTTCGAGAGCTTATAAAGCTTTCTTCAGCCCAAACATCACAGCGACCAATGCCAACAGACATCGGCACACTTAGGGATCCGCAGAGTCTGCGCAGTTCGCGTGACAGACCTCAGGAACTCAGCATTTTGGCTAATCTACTTTATTTACATATAAACAAACATGGAGCACTGCAACATGGCTCCCTCTCTCTCGAGCATCAGACAGCAAAGAGAAAAGGACAAAGGACAATAGTCCCACTTCACGGAACACAGTAACACAAACATCCTGTCTCCGTCACTTCCCACTCTGTGGAGTCAAAACATATACTGTCATGTGAAGGAAACAATCCCATGACTGCAATCATGGAGCAGGAATTCTAACAGTCTGTTCCATGGCTGAACAGCTCTTACTGTCAGAAAGTCCTCCCCCCCCAATGTTTAGTCGGAATCTCCTTTCTCATAACTTGAAGCCACTAGTTTGAGTCCTACCCTCCAGAGCAGGAGAAAACAAGCATGCTCCTTCTTCCATTTGACAGTCTTTAAGATATCTGAAAGTGGCTATCATGTCTCCTCTTTTCCAGACTAAACATACCCAGCTCCTTCAAGCACTCATTGTAAGGCTTAGTTTCCAGACCCTTAATCATCTTGGTCACCCTTCTCTGCACACATTCCAGCTGCTCAAAATCCTTCTTAAATTGTGGTGCCCAGAATTGGACACAGTATTGCAGAACTCAGTTCCGGTTCCTCTCAGGTGGACACCATTATAAGAGAATAAAGGAGAACCCTGCTAGATCAGACTAAACATTCATCTGTTCCATCTTTCTGTTTTCACAGTGGCCACTCAGATGTCTATGGGAAACCCACAAGAAGGACCTGGGCAGAATAGCATTCTTCCTCCCCTTTCTCTCTTGGTTTCCCTTTTGTCTGTCTTAAGATTGCAAGTCACCTTGGGTTAGAAACCTGCCCTCTACATTCTTTGTAAAAGCTGGATACAAGCCCATAAATATTACAGAAAGGCACTTTTACTGGACAAAGAAATCTGTTGTAGGTCAAGGATGGGGAACCTGTGGCTCACTGGATATTGTTGGACTTTAACTCCCATCATTCTCACCATGACCAATGGGCAGGGATGATGGGAATTGTTGTCCCAAAACATCTGGAGGGCCACAGGTTCCCCATCCCTGCTGTAGATGGAAATGACTGTGCCTACTGCTTATGACATCTTCATTGCACTGCCCAAGATGAACCAATGACTCTGGTGAAAAACTAGTTGTGGGTTGTGTATTTTGTCTCTGTCTCTGTGACTGTACAGATATATTATAAACTTCTCAATGCAGAATGCCCACCGTGTGGCACAGGTTGATCACATGGCAAGACAAAGACATAATGGTAGTGCTGGGCTTGCAAAGGACCCAACCAGTCCCCTAGTTTTTGCAAAGCAGAACGGGTTTCACTGCAGTCTGGCTCCGGCAATGCATTCACTGGGAAACAAGAGGAGCAAAAGCAGCAAGACCCTCATTTCTGCAAGAATTAAACACATAGTTCATGGACAACCTCTTTCTCAAATGACTAAACCAACAGTGATCTTGTGACACTTCCTTTTTTTAATGGCACGCTCCCACAAAAATAAGTATAGGGTTAAAATATATCCATTATCTCCAGAACTTTTAGCACCTGTTGTCATTTCTTTTGGGAATCAGTTCTAGTGAATCCTTGTTTGTGAAGCTGCATGGCCTGATCCTCACATCTTTGCATATTGTTAGTGCCAGTGATTTATTATGAATGACAACTACCAGTTTCTTAGGACTGTTACTCACGTGGCTGTCTCTTCTTTCTCCTTGACCAGCTGTGCCTCTTCCTGTTGTGTTGCCTCAGCAGGCTTGTCAGCTGGAGGGGGATCGGGTTCTTTTTCTGGAGGCCCTGCTGCATCTAAAACCAGATGGTTGATAATAACCGTTAAGGCATTTATTACAGAAAGCTGATGTCAGAAAAGCTTATGGTGGTTGTTGGCACACAGGTTGAAGCAAGGCTAGAAATCGAGTACCAGGTAGGTGAAACAAAGTAGGCACTCCAAGAAGGGAGTGATAGGAAAGTGATAGAAAATATCATAGCTGGGACTGTACAGGTACTGAGGAATCAAAGGAATCAAAGGAGGTATATCAGAGAGGAGCTGGATGCTAGCAGACCTGTTCCAGGTCAGGCCCTTGGAACAAGACCGTCAGATTGGAAAGTGGCAGAGATCCAGTATGAAAAGGGGGAAGTAGCATTCCATTACTGATCGTGGTACACCTGATGGTAGATTCTATCTGTTTTCCAGAAAGACAATTTATAGATGTAGTGAAGTACCTGCAATTTGCTCGTTGTGAAACCACAGTGAGTGTAGAGGTTTAGAGCTTAGATCATGGCCACTGGTCCCATCACCTCCTGGCAAATAGAAGGGGAAGAACTGGAGGCAGTGAGAGATTTTACTTTCTTGGGCTCCATGATCACTGCAGATGGTGACAGCAGTCACAAAATTAAAAGACGCCTGCTTCTTGGGAGAAAAGCAATGACAAAGCTAGATAGCATCTAAAAAAGCAGAGACATCACCTTGTCAACAAAGGTCCGTATAGTTAAAGCTAAGGTTTTCCCAGTAGTGATGTATGGAAGTGAGAGCTGGACCATCAAGAAGGCTGATTGCCGAAAAATTGATGCTTTTGAATTATGGTGCTGGAGGAGACTCTTGAGAGTCCCAAGGACTGCAAGAAGATCAAACCTATCCATTCTTAAGGAAATCAGCCCTGAGTGCTCACTGGAAGGACAGATCGTGAAGCTGAGACTCTAATACTCTGGCCACCTCATGAGAAGAGAAGACTCCCTGGAAAAGACCCTAATGTTGGGAAAGATGGAGGGCACAAGGAGAAGGGGACGGCAGAGGATGAGATGGTTGGATAGTGTTCTCGAAGCTACCAGCATGAGTTTGACCAAACTGCGGGAGGCAGTGGAAGACAGGAGGGCCTGGCATGCTCTGGTCCATGGGGTCATGAAGAGTCGGACACGACTAAATGACTAAACAACAACAACAAAAGAATGCTAATACAGTGGTATCTCTGGTTGCGGACGGGATCCGTTCTGGAGGTCCGGTTGGATCCCGAGGTTTCCGCAACCTGAGGACCACTTCTGCGCATGTGCGCGTGGCGAAACCCGGTAAAATACTTCAAGGTTTGCCGTGCGCGCATCCTGAAGTTTATGTAACCAGAGGGATACGTAAATGGAGGTTTGACTGTAGAGGGCAGTGCTCTGTTGGAAGGAACCCTCTATTTGAAAGACAGTCAAATCCCAAGCCAGGTTTAAAGATAATGAGTGACCAGAAGGTGGAGAGCAAGCAAGATAGTGAGCAGGGGCCTAAAGGTTGCCCATCTTTTAGTGAGCAGGCCACCTGATCACAATCTGTTAAGGGAGCTGGGAATGGCAGCTCTGGGGGATAACTTCAGTTCCTAGGATTCTTCAGAAGAAGTCATGTACTTTAAATGTGTGGTGCATAAGCAGCTATGGTCACTCAGTGAAGCTGATGACTGACTAGGAATTTGAACTTGGCTATATTTGGTCCTAATTAAACATTCTAGCTACTTCAATTACAGGCATAACTGGAAAACCAATAGGATGTGGCCCTTCAACAGCATCAACTCTTATTTTTATTAAAAACTTGAACTCATTCTGATGTATTTATTATTCACTTTATTTTTTTCCTAAGAAAATGAAATGGCATTTCTCCAAGAAACCTGGTGCTGGGCTAGTTCTGGAACTTTTGAATTTTCAAATAGTTTTAGTTTAAAAGATTGGAGAGATAAGATTGGAAACTGTGGGCTCAGAGAGCCTGGAGAAGTCCCCCCCCCCCCCGCTTTTCAAATGAATGTTCATAGGAGATGGTGAAATTGAGAATATCACCCACAGGTATATCATGACTTAGTCATACTGACAGAGTGACGTTTATGAGATATGATTATTGTCACACTAATAATTGCTGTTGCATTTCATTGCTTTTCTTGGATTTGTGTTTCCACAAAAAGCATGTAGAGCAGCCTTAAACAAAACAGTTGTTAATATAGGTATGAAATGCAAATTTGAGGGTGTGTGTAAATGAGTCACGGAGAAAGTGTCCTTTAAGATGACATTTAGCTATCTTGAGATGATTAATTTCTATAATTAATTTTCATTCGTATTTTAACTTTAATCTTAAAAATATATAGGTACCATCGTCATTGTGATATCATTGTGATACTTTGCCTAAAGCAGACATAGTCTTAATAAGTGCCATGAGCTTGTCACTGTTAGTCAAAAAGCCTTGATGACCATTGCTATTATTCACACCTAAAGAGTTTGGTTGCCAAGTCAAAATAGTTGTTTGAAACAAAAAACACTTGGGGGGAAAACTTAGTCCATGCTGCATGTCCATAAGTAACAAGTCAATATTGGTTTACAACCTTGAATTCCAGTGATTGAATGATATCTAAAGAAGTATATGACAGGCTTCTCAGCACTTCCCACAATTATTCGCAATGCAGCCTGAGAAACCCCTCCTCAAACTCAAGGAAATTGTCAGAACCACATAATCCAATGCACCATTTGCTTGGAAGGAAGTCCCATTAAGTTCTTAATCATTTCTGGAAAAGTGGGTGGAGGATTACAGCTTAAGTGGCGCTTGGATGCTAGTCAAGGTCACTATGTGTGTGCCAGTTTGGGTACAATATGCTTTGTTTGTGGCAAAGTTCTTAGAACAATTCCTGTGGGCTCCTATGAAGGGGATGTGGTACAGTGAGTAGAGTGCCAGATTTTGACGTGGCAAATGGTCCATGTATGAAGCTCCTCTTTGCCAAGTCTATTATGTCACAGCCTAGCCTGCTTCATAGGTGGGTTGTGAACCAAAAAATGTTCCTCTGGGTCCCTTGGAAAAAACACAGGATTTAAAAAATAAATCTAGAAGGTATAGTAATTTGTTCATATATCTCAAAATTACACATACTTCTGTTTAGGAATTCAAGCAATCTGAAACTATCAAATGTCTACATTTTACTAATCAGTTCTAATGTTAATTGCTGACATTAACGCTGATGAAATGTATTAAGGAATATTTTATTGTGTTCTTTCCTCTCACAGCAAATGAAGAAAATGGTGATTAAATCAGATTGAATTGTCTTTAGAAGAATCTTGAGTATTATGGAAACAATGGAGAGAATCAGCTAAGTGTATACAGTGCAAAGTATCAATATATTAAGTATGCACCTAGTGTTATTTGAAGCGGGGAGCATACCCTCCAACATTTCTCTGATGAAAATAAGGACATCTCATTCCATAATGATAATTTTACTATTTATATCCCACATATCCTACTGGGTTGCCCAATAAACATTTTTTAAAACTTCTCTATACAGGATGGCTCACTGGTTGGATAACTCCATATCCTCCAATATTTCTCCAATGAGAAAAGGGACATCCTAAAGAAAAGTGGGACATTCCAGGATCAAATCAGAAACCGGGACGGCTACTCTAAATCAGGGATGTCCCTGGAAAATAGGGACACTTGGAGGGCCTGAGGGAGGGGGAATCTGTCATACTTGAAAAATCACACACATATTTCCAGTTGCTGCTTGTTAAATATAGTAATTGAATTCACTCAAATTGTAAATGCTTCTATGCACTGCAATGTCTTTAAAGTTGATTGGTTGGTAACTGAATTATAGAGAACACTCTAGTAATTCTCATGTGATTGGCTAACATTGGTCATCAGAGATGTATCTAGCAAAGGAGAGACTCCATTTTATGTGAAGCAAGATGACTGTGTTTTAGAATCCACTGTGAACACTGCTAAGTTGAATAGAGTGTTGGAGTGCTTCTTGTCTGCTTGAAAGAAAGAGCAAAGCTGAAGGAGAAGGTAAAAGTGGAAGAGCTGTAAAGTATGGCCTGAGATACAGAAGGCTGAGCTCTGGAAAGAGAGGAAAATACAGTTGTTTGGAAGTTAGAAGAAAAGACTGTGAGCCCGTGCTTGGAGAAGCATGTGACTGTAAATATTATGTTCCTCATTTCTGGTTTATTAAGTCTGACTTCACAGCCATTGCTCTTATGGGAGAAGGAGGAGACAAGGAGCTACCTATTACTATGAGAATGATGTCTTCCACGCTTTCTGCTTTCCTTCGGTCTCTTTGGCTGTGTGTGGAGGATGATAGAATACAAATGCAGCTCTCATAGGTGCTGGAAGCAGGAGAGGATGCAGGATTCACCCTTTTCTCCTTCCATCTGCTGCTGTTTGGATTGTAATCTAATATTCCCTTTCATGGGTTAGAAAGACCAAAGAAGATTTATGGACAGCAGGGGAAATCACATATATATATAGAGCAGAATTTCCATGTCAACAATTAGAAATGAGGATTAGCTTCCCACATTTTAGCCTTTCGAAGCTAAAGAAGATTTATCAAGAAGCAAGTTTATCAAATCAAGCCGAGCTCTGACTAATCTTTAATGACAATGTATATGTTTCTCTGAGACCAGAAGTCTGCATAGTGGCTGGTTGAAAGAATGGAGAGTAAGTGATGAGTGTCCAGGACAAGGTGGTGAGGAATTAAAGTTGATACTCAAAGGACTCTTTTCATTGACTGACATTGCTCTCTGAGCTGTAACGCTGAAATACTCGCTCTGCTGAGCATTCATTAGACTATCTGCCATCTCTAAAATCCTTCAACTTCCATATTTTTTGAGACTTTTTGCTTCAGTCCTCTCTCTCTCTCTCTCACACACACACACACACACAAACACCAAACCAAGCTGGGTGGAAACCACTTTGCCACAGTCAAAGTCTCAGTAGTATCTTTGAATTTTAGAACCATGTGGTAGCAATGTCAATTACATTGACTCTTCCCATGCTGTTTGTACCCTGTGAAGCAGATTTCACAGTGGATTTTTTTTTTAAATTTGCTTCCAGGAATATGTTGCAGGCTCTGTCTTGTTCTAGATGCTTACAGGTCTCTAAGTGACCCCGTGCACATAGGGTTGCCATATGTCTTCTTTTTCCAGGACAGGTCCTCTTTTTTTCATTGGTAGAGTCATCATAGAGACCCATAGTTAAAAGTAAAGGTAAAGCTAAAGGGAGGGACGTGGGTGGCGCTGTGGGTAAAACCTCAGCGCCTAGGACTTGCCGATCGTCAGGTCGGCGGTTCGAATCCCCGCAGCGGGGTGCGCTCCCATTGCTCGGTCCCAGCGCCTGCCAACCTAGCAGTTCAAAAGCACCCCCAGGTGCAAGTAGATAAATAGGGACCGCTTACTAGTGGAAAGGTAAACGGCATTTCCGTGTGCTGCGCTGGCTCGCCAGATGCAGCTTGTCACGCTGGCCACGTGACCCGGAAGTGTCTGCGGACAGCGCTGGCTCCTGGCCTATAGAGTGAGATGAGCGCACAACCCTAGAGTCTGTCAAGACAGGCCCGTACGGGCAGGGGTACCTTTACCTTTAAAGCTAAAGGGACCCCTGACCATTAGGTCCAGTCGTGGCCGACTCTGGGGTTGCTGCGCTCATCTCACTTTATTGGCCAAGGGAGCCGGCGTACAGCTTCCAGGTCATGCGGCCAGCATGACTAAGCCACTTCTGGTGAACCAGAGCAGCGCACGGAAATGCTGTTTACCTTCCCGCCGGACCGGTACCTATTTATCTACTTGCATTTTGACGTGCTTTCGAACTGCTAGGTTGGCAGGAGCAGGGACCGAGCAACGGGAGCTCACCCTGTTAAGGGATTTGAACCGCCGACCTTCTGATCGGCAAGTCCTTGACTCTGTGATTTAACCCACAGTGCCACTCGTGTCCCATATAGTTAAAAGTAGAAGTCAGCAAATGTGTCCTCTTTTTTGCTCTTTAAAATATGGCAACCCTAATATCGCAGGGGCTTGGAACAGATGACCCTTGGTGTCCCTTCCAACTCTACAGTTCTATAGTTCTATGACATTTTGGTACATACTTGACCTATAGGCTTCTGTGCAGACTGTGGTCTGGGCTCTCTTGTCTCCCTTAACCACCCAATCCGCACTGACGGCTTTTATGCTTGTTTGGTGTGTTCATGGTTATGGTGGTGGAACAAAAATGGCTGCCTGATAGTGGTCCATATTGACTATTCACAGTCTGGATCCAATATAGATGCATATAAGCTGCATCCAATTTATGTATATAGGTATGTACAGCTGGACCAGATCAACTGTGAATTGCTACAAAAAATTGTGAGCCAGTTTTGAGGCATTTGTTTGGGGTGCCAAATATAGCACACAGTGCATCTGAAAAACAAGTAAAACCACATACCGTATATATTTTTCTTTTGTAAGCTTTTTGGAGCAGGGTCCTGCCTTTTAATAGTAATTAATAACTCAACTTCACAAATCACCAGTGAAAATAAAAACGAACTGGTGAATTTGACCCTGACAAATACTTTAAAGACATAAATGTAGGAGAACACAAGGAGAAAACTACAGCAATACAGGATCGGACCAGGTGTTCCTGAAGTAGGTGCCAGCAGCCAGGTAATAATTTGCACTTGCCTTTAGATTCCCATCTGTTCCTATAAGCATTTCCCAATATGCCTTGAATCACAAACCAGGGGAGGCGGTAGTAGTGGGTAGTGGCAGCATATGCTTCTCATAGATCTCTGCCGCATTTTTAGAACACATGCAGATTGGTGTGTTTAAAATATTGGAACTCTACCACATAGGGATTGTTGCCAGCAATTCTCTTATTCTGGATATCCCAGTTCTTGATCGTTTGCTTTCTGCTTAACTCTGAATTTCTATTTTCTGTTGAGCTGAGTAGGCTAGGTTCCTGCCATGAGGCTCATAACTCTCTGACAAGTAATTACGTAATTGGTAGAAACATAGGCTAAGTGCATCTAAATAATCAGTACAGACAAGTGCTAAGCGCCAGATTTCTATTCTCTTGACTGTTTGTTCCCCAAATTTCTCAACTGTCTTCTTTCCTGACAGCTGTCCTGGACTGAAATAAATGCTGGAATCAACAAGAGTTTTCAACTGACTGCACCAGTACGATTGCACACTCTATAAAACATTTACTCCTGTGTGTCTCAGACTTTATAAAATTATAATCTTCTGCTTAACTTATTAGCTCTTCTATGTTACCCACTTCCAACCTAGAACACACACAGGTATATTTACTTCATGGCTATTGTCTTGACCCATGGTTACATTCACCACTAAGGGGAGATGATTACCCAATAGGGTGGAAATCAGCAGGCCTAGGGTCCCATAACAGCAGGTAAGGCAAGGCAGGGAGAGGTCAGGGCCTTGGACAGGGACTAAAGAACTTGTCTGGGATCACAGTATCCCTCCAGCTGAGGCAGAAAATTATTTCATCAGTATGTCTGAGCAACTGGCAGAACTTCATGGTCTGGTCTAGGTGGTCAAGTTAGTGGCTTCACCCGCAAAGCACTTCATCTGGTGGGTCAATGGGCCAGTGTCTGCTCCCGCGCTCTTTCCAAGCAGTGGTGTTTTGAGCTGTTGGGACTGCCTTGGAGGAAAACTCCTCAGGACCCTCTTGATTCCCCAAGGTGTTGGTGGTCCAGTTACAGGAATGTGGTGGCAGAGGTATCTTCAAGGGGCTCAGAAGATGAGATGTAGGTGCCAGCAGACTAGAGTATGGCTCTGTCTCTTCCTTGGGGCTGCTATTGTAGGATGACTCTCCATGTGAGGATTCCTGGTCTAGGACTATGACAGCTGCTGCTGCTAATTAATAATTAATAATAATAAATAATAATAATAAAATAATAATAATAATAATAATAATAATAATAATAATAATAATAATCTTTATTGTGGTCCAACAACCCATAACATGGATTCAGAATAAAATACAGATTCGTACAGACAACCTCCCCAGGGAAGGGAGACCAAAGCATTATTTGTTTAGTTATGGGTATGTTGATTTTTGATTCGTATGACTACTGAAAGAAACTTTGCCACATCCACTGTGATATCATTGGACTTGTCATCCAGAAGATATTTGGTATAGTAGGCTTCAGATTGACCCAGCCAATTTGCCAGTAGTGGTTTAATCAATAGTTCCCTAGCTTGATCATATTGTCTGTAATGCAATAAAATATGCCTCATGCAGTCGACGTCCTGAGAGCATACACAGATCCTATTTTGATAAGGGATACCTCTCAGTCTGCTATTTAACACTTCTGATGGGAATACATTTAATCTGGCTTTGGTGAAAAGATGCCAATATGTTGGTACAGACAAATTTCTAAGATATGCAGGTGTCTGAAAATCGAACCCATAGTGAATTCCTAATGCTAATGGGCCACAGATAACATGAGACTGAGATCAGAGATCACTATGTGATATGTCCCAGAGCCTTTGCCTCAGAGATTCAAGGGTGGTATCATAGCCCAGATGGTACAGGAGAGAAGGTGGTATACCAATTGAACTGCTTTTCTAACCATAATTTTCCTCCATGAGCTGGTAAACTCCTCGTTGTTGCAGGACTGCAATACCTCAAGAATCACCTCTCTCCATATGAACCAATCAAGACCCTGCAATCGTAATCAGAGGCCCTTCCTTGTGTGCTTCTCCACAAGAAGTCAAGAGGGTGGCAACACAGGCCTTGACTTGCCTGGTAAAGGTACCAGGTGAAAACATTTCTCTGTAACCAGGTGTCTGGCAGATTAACATTCTATGGGCTTTTAAATTGTGTTTGTGGGAGGGGGTTACTGGTTTGTTTTTGTTTTATTATGTATTTTGGGTTCTAATTTGTACTTCTATATTGCGAACCGCCCTGTGATCTTCAGATGAAGGACAGTATACAAATGTTATTTACTACTTTTATTTACTACTACTACTGCTTTTCAGCACCAGACTGAATCCCCTAAGACACCGATGATGAAATTTCATTTGTTTCAAGTACTCAAGTCATGTATTTAATGGAAAAAATGAGATTGCTCATTAGTCCCTTTTGTGTACAAAATTGTGCTCTGTATATCAAATTGCCTATGCATCCCTACTGATTGTAAAGTGATAAGAAAACATATCAGAGAAAACATGCATTGCATAAGAACACTTTTTATAACTATTTCCTTCTCCTTTTTATAAAAGACACCTAAAAAAATTAAATCAGCTTTCAAAAAAGCAAAGGAAGCTTGCTTTTGGATATATGTCATTTTATTGGCAAGATGTGATGTAGTGCTTCTGAAGAGGGACACAGCATCCAGGATACATTATGCAATTGATCATCCATTGCCACAGTTAGTTAATTTCAGATTTTGTCTCATAATTGATTACTCATACAAGGAATAATTGATTGCTTATACAAGCATTTTATTTACAAGAGAACTGTAGCAAAATGAATGGCTCAAATAGTTTTATGAAAGTTTCCTGGGGGGAAAGGGACTAATACAATGCGTCTAGCGTCACATGTCACTAAAGCAATGAGCAACCATGCAGAGTTTCTTTTAAGTCATGGTACTGCTGGGAATTCCAGTCCCGGACTCTTTTGACTGCAAGTAGACAGCAAACATAAAATCATATAATAGCTTCAAGGCTGGCCTGCGTGTAACAAAAAGGAATGTTTGTTTGGAGTGTGGCTGCTTCCCAAAGCTCACATGCACTGTGTAAGGAGTCCAACATTTAAATGAATACCATTCAGTAATATTAAGATCTATTGGAATTCAGCTTTGGGTCTGCTGCAGTTTTTTAAAAACCTAAATTGGAGTGCACTGCTGCACTATTGGTTTCATAGGACCCCAGAGGGAATGAAACTTCTGCCACTAAAGAATTGTTAAGGTCAAGAGTGAACTGAAATTTAATGGGTGTAATTATAAAGTGTCCTTAGCAGGCAGTAAAATTGGATGAGGCTGTGCCTTAGGCCCCTGAAATTGGCCCAATAATTAGGTATTTTTGTAAGTCATCACCGGGCAGACTTCAAACTTTTAGAATCTACTGCTGCTACTACTATTGCTATTACTAGAACCCCAAAATTCATTAGCTGGAGCCTGGTGCTGAAAACTCACACTTAGAATTAGAGAATTTGTTTTGAATACCAGTACTGAATGGAGCTCACAGTCCTTCCACACAAAAATCCACTTCTGGTTACCCCCGAACTTCTTTCATTTCAGCAGCATAATCTAGGGTGGCAGGGGACTGCCATTTTGCTATTGTTAAACAAGTGGGAGTCAAAATTCCTTGGTGATATCCTGCAGATCACTCAGAAGTCTACCAGAAATCTACCTCCTCTGTGTTCCTGGTATAACGTATGTTGAAGCTTGAAGCAAGGACCTTAGTCTCAAGTGTGCTATTTCATGTGGACTGCCACAGAGATGCCATAGCACCACTTGCCCAAAGGGAGCTTACTTGCATCTTCAGAGTTACAGGGAAGCTGCCTGTCCAAAGTTAATGGGGGGGGGGTTGATAAGCCTAGGTAAAGGTAAAGGTACCCCTGACCATTAGGTTCAGTTGTGGACGACTCTGGGGTTGTGCGCTCATCTCACTCTATAAGCTGAAGGAGCCGGCATTTGTCCACAAACAGCTTCCAGGTCATGTGGCCAGCATGACTAAGCCAATTCTGGCGAACTAGAGCAGTGCATGAAAACGCTGTTTACCTTCCCGGTGGAGCGGTACCTATTTATCTACTTGCACTTGATGTGCTTTCGAACTGCTAGGTAGGCAGGAGCTGGGACCGAACAATGGGTGCTCACCCTGGCGCAGGGATTTGAACTGCCAACCTTCTGATCGGCAAGCCCTAGGCACTGTGGTTTAGACCACAGCGCAACCCACGCCCCTCTTGATGAGCCTAGAAAGCTGCAAATTTGGACTTCCTCTCATCCAATAGTTAATGATTCTGCTTGATGGCTGGTTACTCTCTGATCCTTCCCCTGGGTTAACCACCTGTTCTTAGGCTGCCAACAAACCAGAATATAAAAAAAAAGCCCAGTCTGTTCCTATAGCCTTAAAAGCAATGCTCTGCACTTGAGCCAAAAGGTGAATCTATCAATGACTGCTTGCCATGATGGCTGAGTTCTGCCTCCACTGTTAGAAGTTGCTTGGAAGTGCAGGTGTGCAGAGTGCTGTTGTGCTCAGGTTCTGCTTTCAGGCATCTCATAGGTATCCATTTGGCCACCATGGGAACATGATGCAGGACTAGATGGACCACTGGTCTGATCCAGTAGGGTTCTGAAGCTTTTCAAGGTATGGAGACAAACATCAGCACAGACAATAAACTGCACGTAAAGCTGCTTAAAGGCACAAGCTAGTAAATCAAAGTTGGCAGCCATACTGACTTGACCCCATTTTCTCCTGAATATTCTGCTTTCCTCCAGTGCCTGGCCTTTTCATGAACCCCATTGCAGGAAAGGGAGCAACTGTGCCCATGGTTCACTCTAGGACCCTGAACCATGGTGGGGGAATCCATCAAAAACAGCAGATTTTTGGATTTAGGGCAGCACGACCAGTTCCGCCACACTGGGCACCAAGCCCAGGGGGTGCCACTGGTCGTTGCAGCTGTGATGTAGTGTGCTGAGCAGAATGGAAGGTGAGAGGTGTGGGGGGGAAACAAATTTTGGTCTCACACAGGGTACCACTGAAATTTGAAAGACCAAAGTCTACCCCTGGAAATGGAGACAGGCTGCCATAGTGCTCAAAGTAATGCTGGGTAGTCCAGTCCATGTTTTATGTGTGTACTAGTTCAGGGTCTAGAGTACTTCCAGTCCAGGTCTTACACAGAGCTTTAAAGACCAGGCTTGGAGGTAGATTTCTGGTGGGCTTTTCTCATGCCTAATGATAAGGTTTGGATTTGTTCTAAATAAAGCATTTTGGGCGCCATCCTTGGTGCTCAACACTTTGAGCAAAAAGTATCCTGGAGCAGGCAGTAGCAATGCACCCAGAAAGGTTTTCATGCCACACATTGAATAAGAAGAAGAAGAAGAAGAAGAGTTTGGATTTGATATCCCGCTTTATCACTACCCAAAGGAGTCTCAAAGCGGCTAACAATCTCCTTTCCCTTCCTCCCCCACAACAAACACTCTGTGAGGTGAGTGGGGCTGAGAGACTTCAAAGAAGTGTGACTGGCCCAAGGTCACCCAGCAGCTGCATGTGGAGGAGCGGAGACGCGAACCCGGTTCCCCAGATTGCGAGTCTATCGCTCTTAACCACTACACCACACTGGCAGTAAACAAGGAAGGAAGATAAAGTTTGTGTTATGCCCACCAAAAGCATTATCTTTTAGAAGCTGAATAAAAGCTGAAGTGGAACAACCCAGACACTGGTTTACAGCCTCATCTGGTGCTTGTGTGGATGAGGCCAGATCAATGACAGAATTGCATTTAATGTCAGCCAGATATGATTATGAATGTAAAAAGGTAATGAATGACACCTTGCTATTGCTCAGTACATTATATAGTTTTTTTAGATAGATGGATTAGATTAGACATTACTGACCTTGTTGCTTAGGGTCTGGCTCTGCATTGTTTTCTGTCTCTTTTTTCACAGCATCATTTGTGTTTTTACTTTCTTCTTTTTCTTTCTTATCTTCCTCCTTTAGGGAGAGCAGAAGAAATACTTAAAGTGTGTCTACAGTCTGCAACATGTTTCTTGCATTTAGGTACATAGATACATACTTTTGCTGTACCCTCGGTTACTAGAAAGTATGTAAAGATCCTGCTTCTAAGTTGTTAATTACTTCTTTGTTGTTTATTCAAGCATACACTGCTGAAGCACACTCAGAATTTCTGATTGTAGTGGCAACCTGTTCTGGTTCAAATAGACGTGACTCACTTAAATGGCCTTGCAAGTTTTCCAGGAATTGAAAATGAAAATTATCGCTTGCACCATTTGCAGACCTTAATTTCTGGAAAGTGATACATCAGTGTTCAAGCGTGCCTGGAGATCACACCTTAGGACCTGAAAGCCCATCTTCTTACTCCCAGATGTGTTGGAGCCAGTCACTAAGAACCTAAGAAAAGCCTTCCTGGAACAGATCAAAGGTCCATCTACTGTGGCTTAACCTGGGTGGAAGGAGAACTACCAAGGCCTGGAAGGCAGATTTAGGAATCAGATTTAAATATTCATAGAAGCCAGCTCTAGGGAAGGAGATGGAGCTCAGCAGCAAAGCACACTCTTTTCCTGCAGAAGTCTTAAATTTAATCTGTAGCATGTCCAGTTAAAAGGACCAGGTAGCTGGTGATGTGAAAGGCTTCTGCCTAATACTCTGGAGAGCCACTGCCAGTCAGACAAATAGATAATCTGGGGCTGGAGGAACAAAAGGTCTGACCTGCAAAAAATGTAGCCTCTATCTTCCCAGAGAGTAATGGCTAAGTGAAATATGGAACTCAAGAAAGGACCCCAGAGTGCAATACTGTCAGAGACTGCTATCTCGGCCCACAACTCTGGAATTTGAAACAGCGATAGACGAGGCTTCACTCCTATTGTTGGCATCCACCTGTCTCTAGAGACAATGGAGTATAATGCCTCTGGGGATAAAGTCAAACTGCTGGATAAGCACTCTGTGATTCTTGACCATTGGACCCACTACTGGCCTCATCTGCTTAATCTGCCAGAGCCAGTCTTCACATGCAGGGGAAGTCCCTAACTGACCAAGGGTTCGAGGCCCATCGGCTGCCCTCTCCTGGTTTAACTGGTCAGTTGAAGCCCTTTCCTGGGATGTGGCCACTATCGCATGCTGACAGCTTCTACTCTCCCAGAAGGAGCACCACATGTCCCCCACCACATGTCCCCCACCACAGTACTATCCCTCCCCTAACATCCCACACACCCTTGAAGTCTATTAAGTCATTTAAAACCATGCAATTGACAAAATGTGGGCCTAGTGACTGAGGACACACTGCTGGCCCCACTCCCACCATTGCATCCCCACCAGCCTTGATTCCATCCATGCATTGAGATGGAAAGGGTTGAAGAGGAAGAGCCTACTGGACTTGTGTAGGCTGCTGCCACACCCATGATTTTGGATCGTTCTTGAGTAGCGTTTTAAATCACAGGCGGAATGGTGACATTTTTCTTGGCATGGAGGTACAGCTATCGGCAAAGCTTCAGCTGGTTACTTTCTGTAACCATTATTATGTATTACATTTTCCCCAGATAAATAAATACATTTAAATAAATCCCTGCAGTTCAAAAATGAATACTTGCATGAAGAGCAACTCCAGTGCTTTCCCCATAGAGGTAAAAGGTAAAGGTAAAGGACCCCTAGACGGTTAAAGTCCAGTCAAAGTTGACTATGAGGTGCGGCCCTTATCTCGCTTTTCAGGCTGAGGGAGCCAGCGTTTGTCCACAGACAGCTTTCCGGGTCATGTGGCCAGCTTCTGGCACAACAGAAAACTGTGATGGAAACCAGAGCACACATAAACGCCGTTTACCTTCCTGCCACAGCAGTACTTATTTATCTAGCTGTACTGATGTGCTTTCAGACTGCTAGGTTAGCAGGAGCTGGGACAGAGCAACAGGAACTCACTCCGGGATCACGGGGATTCGAACTGCCAACCTTCTGATCAACAAGCCCAAGAGGCTCAGTGGTTTAGACCACAGTGCCACGTGCCCCATAGAAACAAATGAGGTGCCAGTACTCCTGTCTTGATAAAAGTAGGTTCAAGCACAAGATGGCTACCGATGGCAGCAAAACAAAAGGTGGCAGTACTCCAGGGAGTATTGTTACCAAAAATGCACTGGGCTTATCCATAATGACAGCAGAACATGACAACCCTTTTAGTCCTGGCTTTGCCATGAGGTCTTCTTGCAACAACTGTGTATTGGGTGTGCTTGTCTGCAAAGAAATTCAAACATGTGAGCACCTACTCATGTACAGGATGAGTAAGATGTGCTCTTTACACATGGTAACAAAGGATGGTAACAAAGACACTTTATTTAGGGCAAACAGAGCACACCTTAAGCATGAGAAACTTCCACCAGAAATTTCTCCCTTCAGTTGCCTCAGGGCCTAGTGTTTCAAGCTCCTAGACTCTGGTAAACCGGAACACCTAAAACACAGATGGATCCCCCTCACTCTACAGTGCTTGTGTGTATGAATTCTCTGCAGACAACCACATCCAACACACGGTTGTTGCAGAAAGAAAACTCAATGATAGACTCAGGGCTAAAAGCCTTATAAATAACAGATGACAAGGGTTTGTATGCTCGCCTAACATGAAAGACACAGGAGCGACACCAGTAAAAAATAAAGAAAGAAGAAGCTTGCAACCCCAAGAAAGGGCAACTCGGAGAGCAAAAGTAAGGCTGAATCTGAAAAATAAGGACAAATTAAATAGCTGAAAATTACCTGAATATCATCGGTTCTACTCATTCTGGATAAATGACAGTTGCAATTTGAAAGGCTGCAGCTACAAGTCTAGTGTGAAATGTTTTGAGGTGGAGGAAAGATGAAGGGAGAGCTAAAACTAGGACACACCGAGGCGTATGAATAAAATCACAAAAAATACCCTGCTAGCTAAACCTTCCCACACAAACTAGGTCTAGCTTACCCTGAGGTCTTGATTATACCGTATCTCCTATTTCAGGTGCAAAACAGATGTACTGCTATTTATTACATTATAATCCTGTGGGCCTAGGGTTTGGATAATCAGCTATAGTGCAACTGTCAAACCTCTAACAATATGTCTCTTTGTGTACCTCAGATGGCTAGATGAGGCCCATGTTTCAGCAGCAAGTGGAAAGAGAGCACTGGGCCCCATTTCTCTGATTTCTAACATAATTTTTACAGTGACTTTATCTTCCTTCATACATTATAAATGTCTTAACCATGTTGAAGGTGTGGGGTCTTGCTGAACATGCTTAATAAGCCTCTCCACAATCAGGAATCCTTCAAGATCAGTCCACCCGTCAGCCAACAGACACATTGGCTCGCACCGCCTCATGCAAGGAGTCTTCACATGTTAAATTCAACAAGTGTACAGTCTGTGTAACCTGTGAACACAATAGCTGAGCTGTACACTTATACAGTTATTCATGTGTAATGTTCAATAAGGGCAGAATGTTTGTTTATACAGTAGTTAAGCTATTCAAATCCACAAGGACATATCATATACCCTAACATGTGTACATAGGGCTGGCCCATCCATGAGGCTGACTGAGGCCACTCTAGGAATTGCACCCTTAAGAAGCTGTGGTTACCAGATTACTTTGAGGGAAGCCACGCCTGTTTAAAGTGGTATGATAGTGTTTTAAATGTATAGCTGTGGCGTACCCTCCCCCAAAAGCTCCCTTCTTTAATATATTTCTGGTACTAGGAAAGTACAGGTGTTTGTTTGTTTGTTTGTTTAAATTTCTCCAAGCCTCTCAATGAAGTTATGATTTTATATCATTGGACTCAGTGGACTTTATTCATACATCTTCCATTTTAAATTGATTTGCTGCTGCAATGCTTCTTTTCCTCTCTCCTCTGTCTTTAAGCAATTTGTGATGTTTATAATGGTGTTGCGTGGATTGTACTGTGGGTTTTTTATTGTCATTTTGTTTATTTGTATCATTGTAAGCTGCCCAGAGAATTTCACTTATAGGGCGGCTTATAAAATAAATAAATAAAAATGTACATGCCCCATCATGTATTTCACTCATCATGTAAGCATACTGGGTACAGCTTATTTGTAAGAGGTAACCAAGGTCCCTTCGTAAGTCACAGGCTTTCACATATGTTTACATTCTGCTCGTAAGCACATTTGTTTAGAAGTCAGTACCATTGTTTTCTGTGGAAATTACCCTACTCATAAAGTGCACTCAGGATCACAGTCTTAATTAAATCACTTCATCCAACAGAAGGAGAGTTCCCTTTGTTCACAAAGAAGCAATTAAGATGAATGGCTCAGAGCTAACTGCAAATAATTTGTATGTGGGTTTTATTTTTTAAAAAATGTTTTTACTTAGCCACATCCTGGTGATATGGTTAATCAAACTGCTTTATTGCTGCTTTGATCTGTAAAGTTGTGTGTTTATGCAGATTTACAGCAAACCCAAACAATTACTTACTGTTGTAAGTTATTATTTAAAGGACATTAAGTGATTTCTAAGTTTGTCTTAACTAGCATCACTAGAATGATCCTTTTATACTAGTCCAATATTAATTATTAATTAATTTAATTTAAATATTATTTTAAAACAGTCGGAAAGAAGGCCTCCCCATAAACTTTTAAAATGTAAAGACAGAGATGCATCAAATTCTGCTGCCAGGATCAGGCCTAGTGAAGCCTTTTGTACCTCTGATAGAATCACACCAGTGTGGTGCTGCCAGTAATAGCCTCCATTCTTTCAGCACCACGTGGTTATGGTAATATCTGGATTTAGCATCTCACTTGGGTCACGAGTGGTAAAGACCCATGCGGCGACCGACAGCAAGCAAGGTGATCTTGTGCTGGTTTCAGTGGTTGCCTAGCAACATGGCTGACTCATGCAGAAAGCGGGTCCACAAGTTATTGTAATCCCTTGAAACCCACCCAGGTAGAACCTTTTCTTTTAAGCAGCACTATAGTAATATTTGGAAGCATTCTAATAGCTGCATGCAATGCAGGA